TTTTTTTTTTCGCATTTCAGGGTGCCTTAAGTTTGGAAAAGTTTCGAGGAGACTCTTACAAGGAATGAACCTCTTAATGCTACTTTTTCTTATGTTTATCTCTTCTATCAGAGACAAGAAGACTTACAGTACAACTGCCAATTGTTCATAAATTGAAAAAAGAATTAGTTTCATAGAAACTATTTTCAGCCCTTAACAAATAGGAGCACGTGTCATTATATAACCTCATTAGCAGCCGTCATTTGGTCGTGCCTTGCAACCCCTTTTATCCTGCTTTGCGAGAAGAGACCAACCAATAACTGCTAAGGAGACTGGTCATCTTTTTGATCTCGCTCGCCTCTCTGATTGGATGTCCAGTCTCAGTAAACGTCCTGACGTAGTATCCGAGCTGTTTGTGTAAAGGAAAGGGAAATAAACAATTCAGATTGTGGTTACAACTTTTATAATGATAATTTAACTCTTATGACTGAAACTTATGCCGCAAATTTACATCTTAGTATGCAGCAGGGTATTTTTGCGCTCTTTAAAGTTATTTCTGTTCTGTATTCACGATAGGATGCATTCACAGACTGCAAGATTACTATCGAAGTTAACAATGTCATCCTCTCCCTCTCCACCTCTTTCAACCAAAATTGACCGAAAAATTTTGCTAATAGCTGACAGTTTAAGCGAGAAACAGTAGTTGAAATAAGCAGCCTTCTTTTTTACCTCAAGCCACATATTTCAGTGGAGTTGGGGCATTTTGGCTTGATGTAAAACTGTTATTTACAGTGAAAAAAAAAGAAAAAAACTACGCAATGTCAGCACCGATAATGCCATATACATGGTATCTTATTCCAAGCTTAGAATGTGTATCAAATTTACGGAGATCCTGTTTAAGACCAAAAGCAAAACAGAGTGAACCCAAGGACATGCCTGTAGGCAACTGTACATCATTTCAGACTTTCTCAAGTCCACAGGGTGAGTTCATGACAAAGGAAATCCCAGGCCCACGCTTGCCCTCATCAAGTTATAATAATAAATAGTAATAATATTTTTAATAAACCAACCCAACCATTTATGTAACCAATAGTTCTTTGAAATTAGCACAATAGCTTGGCGAAACAAATTCACCACTGCACAACAAAATTTGATGTCATCATATGATCTCAAAGATTCATCGAAAATAATGGTCACGTCTTTATCATTTTGCAATGTGCTTCCTCCCTTTACTACATGCAGTGGGAGCGCTCAGCCATCATAATTGTGACACAAGTTCGATTCCTGGGCAGAGTATTACAAGTGGGTTACGTTTTCTTTGAATCTCGCCCTTAAACCCACGGTTTTCCTGCAGGTTTACCGCTTTTCTGCTCTCCACTAAAGTAAATTCTCTAAATTCCAAGGAAAATACGAGAAAAAAGAGCTACTTTTGTAAATGCGCACTGCTAAATCCGACTGATTTTAATGCTCCATCTAAATTATAGTACACTGAGAGTCAAGCGAGAGTATCACATAACAAATACTCCGTGATCTGCCAGTGATAAAATAGAGCGACACTGACGTTTTCAATTTCCGTTCCATTTTCAGTATCGAAACAAGCCAAGATGAAAATGAGAACATTCTGTATGAAAGGTAAATACTTTTAGCAGTGATGATAGCTGTTCAGTTCTGGCTAGTTTTAAGCGTAGCATGAGCTTATGTTTTTGAAAATATTATCTCTCGTTCCAGCATGGATGATGTTATACAGAGTGTAGAAGAGGCTGAAAGCATCAGTCCTATCTATGAAGGGTTACTGTTGCTTTGGCAGTTCTAAGCGTAGTTTGGGCTTTGCTGCCATGATTGGGGATGGAAGTTGCGTTATAGGAGAATACCTGAATGCATCCTTCTAGAGTCTCAAACTGAACTTTACTTTTTCTAGGTTGGGTTTCAATATCGGGCTTTATAAAAGAGATTATATGATATTTTGCTCTATAAGAACCTTCTAATCCTCAATGGAACTCGTTGAAGCTCGCGAACTGGATCTCATATAAAATTATGCCCAGTATACCCCGGGAAAAATCTTAACTAAGGCTAGTAGTTGGGTGTAATTACAAAGTGCGCCACGTAGCCAAATGTTGAAAGCAAGGACTCAAAAACCTCTAATCAATTTTTTGTTCCCTCGCAAAGGAATCTGTTCACAAATAGGTTATAATTCATAATTTTAAGTTACAATGAATATATGAAGTTCATATATTTTGAACTGCGGTTGTAGATACGTATAATCATACGTATAATTTTAAGATAACATTAGGGGGTTTTAGGTCCACGGTTGGTGTGTCAACCACAAACGTCAAACCGCAGTTAGTAGTTTAAGGTCAGAAGTAAGAAGTTTTGAGATTTCCAGCATTCTAGAGTGACGTTGGCTTTCACCTGAGAAAAATCAACTTGTGCGCCGCCATTCCACAAAGGATGGAGGAGATCCCTTATTTCAAACACAAAATGAGGCTAAAAAGTTTGGTTTTCTAACGTTCCAACCGGATTGGTTAAACAAAAAAAGACTTCATCTAACACCTATTTTTAGGACATGCGTGAGAACTTTTGAACAGGAAGAACAAGGGCAAAAGGGCAAAGGGACATTTAAGAACGTGATCATTATAAATTAGAGTTTGACTAATGGTCGTGGGTCGTGGGTCGTGGGTCGTGGGTCGTNATCTGTTCTAAGCTCTCTGATTGGATTGATTTTGAAGGCCAACCACTCAGTTCCTAGAATACCACTAAAATTTCATCAAGTGAATTGGTCCTCAGTGGATCAGTTCACTCTTCACCTGTGTTACCCAATCGGTTTTCGACCTCCTTATCTTGTTTCTCACCTCATAAACCTGCCTGCGACGATCGACAGAAAAAATTCCCTTACTTTAGCCTGGACTAATGGACCAAGTAAAGGACGTCATCGACACGAAATCCTCGTAAGGACAATTAAGGCAACTGTCTCCAAAACTCCGAACCTTACTTAGCAAGGTAAAGTTTGAAGGCTTACTAATTTATATAAGAGTTAAAACGCTAACTTTGGGGACTCAATGCAATATTTCCACCCTTTAGCTCAGTAGAATTCACTTAGCGAGGAAGAGCTATTCGACAACGTTTATATATATATTTTTTAACTTACTTTTCCTTACACTTGATAAGAGTGCGCATGGACAATGACAGCATTGAATGGCACATTCTGGAGTCCATACTATCCACAGAAGTACAACAACAAGGCCTGGTGCAAGTGGCACATTGAAGTCCCTTGGAATTACGCTATTCTGATCACTTTTGAAGACGTCAGTTTAGAGCGGGATGGTTGCGACTACGACTTTGTCAACGTGCAGGAAACATTTAGCAATGGCACACAAGTTTTGATTGGTTCAGTCTGCGAAACGTCCACACCACAGATGAGATCCAGTGGTAATAATGTTACGGTTGTTTTTCGCTCAGATGCTACTGTGACAGACAAAGGATTTCAGGCCACGTATAAAGCAATAAGGATAAGAGGTGAGCCTTAAAAATGCTAAAAGTTAACACGTCTGATCACTTTTATTGTTACGTTTCGTCATTTTTGAAAAGTTGATTCTCTGTATGCTTTATTTTTCAAGGGTTTTAGCGATCGGAGATAGGTAGTTAGAAAAGGCAAAATTACGCTAGTATTTACAAGTAATTGAGGAGTTTGATATGATTTCTAGTACTAAAATAAAAAAACCAAAAACCAAACTGTGACTAACCTATCGAAGGTTCGTACTCAGTTTTCTCCACTGCGATTTGTACTTTTCTCACGAGTCTTAACTTTCTCGAAGTTAATTTTGAAAATGAACCTCTAACTTTTTCAAACTAAAACGGGAAAGCTAAAAGTTTCTAAAGAAACTGTTTGGGGCTGCGTCGGTGGGGGTAACGAAATAATTTGGATATATCAACAAAGTTGAAATGGTAAATTGGCCACCGTAACGATTACAAAAGCCGACGTTTCGAGCGTTAGCCCTTCGTCGGAGC